TAATTAGTGTAGCTATTTACTACATATTTTATTTTTTCCTACTTTTAGGTGGCAGGATGTGTACCAATTAATAAGGCGACTGGAGAAATCTTATTAATAACATCACAAAGCGGAGATGGATGGGTATTGGTAAATAGAAAGTCTTACAATATGCGTAATGAATAATTTATAATTTATATGTATTACCAACTCGAATATATTATACTGAATTGAAGCCTAAAGGTGGCTGGGAAGACGATGAGACGCAACAAGAAGCAGCAGCTAGGGAAACATATGAAGAAGGTTCGTTGTTTATACTGTAAATTTTTTTTTAAAAAAAAAATGTTGTTACTAAAAAAAATTATTACTGTAATAAATTTAATAGCTGGTGCACGCGGAAAATTATCATTTATTGGAATATGGGACTCTAAAAAAACTGGTATATCTCATGCTACATTTATCTTTTTTGAGATGGAAGTAGATAAATTAGAAGATAAATGGCCGGAAATGGATGTGCGAGATAGACAGTGGGTGAGTTTTGTTTTAAAATATCTCACTATATGATTTTTTTTTTTTTTTATTTTTAATTCATTAATTAATAATATATTGTAAACGTTTTAGTTTACATATGATGATGCAATAAAAATTTTAAAAAAACCTTTCATGCGGCAGATAGTAGAACAATGCTCGTTGGCTCCCTCAAATAATTAAATTTTGCATGCTACGTGCTTAATGCAAATATTATTTTTAAAATATCTCTTTTTTTTTATATATTAATATATCAAATTTTTATTTATATTATATAGTATCATCATACTATATATTTACAAAAAATTGCTCTTTAAAATTGATGGCGCATAAGTTAAATTACAAATGAAACTTGCAATTTTGGAAATATAATTAGTCTTTATAAGTGAACCCTCGATAAATGCAAATTTTTTTTCATCGCCAGGTCGCTTGATAATATTGTATTTTTAGACTACACCTTTTCCAATGTGTTTTAGAATCTCCATAAGTGTGCAACTTTAATAAGTCGGCAAATGCACTTATGAAGGTTCACAGTATAAATAATTGTCTTGCATTATAAACCTGTCCTTAGAAATCATATAATCAACGTACGTAATCGTTGTCACCTTTTTTATATTGCTTAACAGTTAATGAGTAGGCTAAACAAGGTCCATTTTGTTTCAAGTAGACATTGTTTTACTATTTAAATTTGAGAAACTCACGATACAATAATCGTGCATACGTATTGAAATTTACATTATCAATTTAATGTAATATCAAGCAACTATTGCTATAACTCGATTTATAATAAAAAGAATCAACGTTTTAGAAAGCAGTATATTTTATACTCTATATAAAAATAGAAAAAAATAAGCTATAATTATTCTAAAAAATTATTCTAAAAAATTATTCTAAAAAATTATTCTAAAAAATTATTCTAAAAAATTATTCTAAAAAATTTGTTGATATCCCAGGTTTAAAACTTCCAAAAAAATTGAATGCAATACACAAAAAGTCAAAAGCCAACTCCAAAAGTCTTTAACAATGAATAAGCTTCCAGCACTTTCGAAATTTGTAAGTTCTTGTACTTGATTGTATACCAACATATTTGGACTTAATGTTCCATCTAGTCCACTAATTACATTTTTTGTTGCAAGTTTTTCTAACAAATTGAGGATAGATATTGGTCGTGCGTTCGAAGATTTATCGGACAATAATGACATTTGTTGTGGCTTCAATTCAGACAGGATTAATGAAACTACACCTGATGAAAAAATATAATGTCAGTATAAAGAATGAAAAATTGAAGAAAATAAAACGTAATAAAAAGATGCAATAAAAAGATGATGCAATAAAAAGATGCAATAAAAAGATGCAATAAAAAGATGCAATAAAAAGATGCAATAAAAAGATG